TTGGGGGGGGAGAGAGAGAGAGAGAGAGAGAGAGAGAGAGAGAGAGAGAGAGAGAGAGAGAGAGAGAGAGAATTAATGAGAGAGAGAGAGAGAGAGAGAGAGAGAATTAATGAGAGAGAGAGGTGTGAACACACCAATCGCTCGCGGAGTGTTTTCCCTCTTGTACTTGCGTCCGGCTGCAGAGACGAGACGATCGCAGGCTGAGGTAGAGGGGGGGGTAGGTGGGAAGCACGTGCCACCGTTTGTTTATTTTCCTCGTAAATCCCAATACCGCGGGGGCGTTTTCAGATGTTTCTGCATCAAAACACGGCACAGGTTCAAGGAGGTTTCACCTTTTTTCGAGTGCGTGTGGGCCACACAAAACTCACGAAGCAGTCCGCAATGTCGCCGTGTTACACTGCCCGCTCAAGAGGTGGAAGAAACTTGACGGGGGATGCCCCCCCCCCTCCCCTCTCTGTGTGTGTCTTGCTTTCTTTCGGTATTTCCTCACCGTCAACACTGATAGTGATGACGCCCTTAGATTGTTTTTGACAAGAATCTCGCCGTGGACATCCAAAGCTGATACGGCAGCGAATCATGAAATTGTCGAAAGCAAGCCGACGAGCATCGTCGGCGTTGCTACTCCCAACGTGGCTTTTTCTTTTGCCATTGTTTCGGACTTGAGAACGGAAGCGGGGACGGACTACTCCTGTACGCATGACGTGAATACACGACAGGATACGGTACCTTCAGGCAGAGGAAATTCGATAATTGCGAAAAAAAAACACCAACATTACAGTACAATGTGCCGAGCTGAAAGATAGAACGAACGAAATAAAACCGCACCACACATTGAAAAACAGAAGCGAAGCGTAGGCGGCGGGTCCGGTAAGCACTTTGTCACGCACATGAAAAGGCTGTCTGTTTGAACCGAGTGGAAGGTTTGTTTGTTGAAAGAAAGAAAAGACAAGAGCAACAATTGTTAGAGGCCCCCGTGCCTTCCCACGCTAGTAAGGTAATCTGGCGACCGATGCAGATGATGAATAGAACCTTGATTGTTACACACCAGTCAGTGCTCCTTCCAGCACAAACCATGCATAGAGTACAGTAAACACTCTCTCGAGGGTCTCCGCACGTGGACCCCCAACAGCATACCCCTCAAACACATATAATCTCCAGAACAGAATTATCCTCAGAAGAGTACCGAAAAGCGTAGGAACGGTGACCGACAAATCTGGAAGAATCAACTTCAAACGAGTTGACACAATATCCTCGAAAAAAACGAAGTTTCGACTTCTTGGCCAATCGAAACGGGAGCATTCGCAAAGGACGAAGACCCCAACAACTACTCGTAAAAACATGTCACACCCTTCCTCCAATATGGTCGCGTCTAAGGACCAAATCCTAAACAGCGCGCACACGCCAATCCATCCTATACATAGTCATGTTTACAATTGCGTACGATACTACAAAAACCTCTTCCACTCTACCTATCAATTATCTAATGGCTATAGTACACCTATGTGAATGGCGCAGGGGGCCCTCGGGGGGAGCAACGCCACCCCGTGCATGCTAACACAAAACGGGGTGG